TTGTCTCTGAGATGCTGTGACCTTTTTGTATTTAGATCTCTGTTAAGTGTTTGTGAAGAGCAGTTCAGGGTGAGTCAGGGTCCTCTTGGTGGTGGTTTATCATTGGCCTGTTGGTGGAGAAGGAAGTGGTGGCTCTTACCCAGTAAGTGAAGCTACAGGAGGTGTGGGTGTAGTTGTGTTGTTGCTGTCTCCCACTCAGACAAAAATAACAATTGAATAACCATCAAAAAAGTAAAAGCAAATGGACAAAAAAACACACCATGTAATCACACAGGAATAATAACCAAAAAAAGAAAAAAAAATAAAAACAGTGCAGTATCTGTGGATAGGTCAATAAGGGAAAAAAATATATAGAATGGGAGAATAATGAAGAAAAGAAATGGGAAAAATGAGAAAAGAAAAACAAGGAACAGGGTTAACCATGAGGAATTAAAAAAAAAAAAAAAAATTGAACCAGGAACAGGAAAAAGAGAAAAAGCTGAAACGAGAACCTCTGAAGGGAAGAATAAAGAATAATAATAAAAATGACAAAAGTAATAATAATAGTAGTAGTTTTAAAACAGACTAAAGCAAACTAAAAAAGAAAAGAAAAGAAAAGAAAAGAAAAAAATCAGGTCAGGGAGGAACAGGGCACCCGGGCTCCATCTGAGCACACAGACTGGGATGGAATTCCTGCCAGCCTAGAAGCTGGGTGGGAATGAGTGATGGCCTTACCTCCATTCACAAAGAGGGTGTGGGGTAATAAGAATAACAAGGGGAATATCGCACCTTTCCAGTCGTTGGTGTCCGGAATGTCCTTGTTCCCAGCAAGTGGAGCCTGTTGTTAAGTCCCTGGAATCTGGGAGAATGCTGTCACTTTTAGTATCCAAACTAGTCAAGCCACTTGTAAACATTCAAAATGGCTGTGCCCTCCAGACAGGCAAAAGTCCACAGCTCAGCCCAACTTCCTCTTTGCTGCTCCCCCTTTTATTTACCAGCCACAAGAGCAGTCCTCTGTGCAGTCCCTGACTAGCAGGGCTGATTATTAGGTCAATTCTTAGGTCCTAACACCACTCGGCAATATCCAAGCTGTCAGGATTGCCGCCAGATTGCAGCTCCATATGTGTCCTTTTCTTTGGTATTTTTATGCAAATTCTTCTACTAGCTGGACTTGAAAGAGTTCCTTCACGGTTGACTTTCCCAATGCTGCATGTCGTCTAATGTCCTGACTGCTGCTTCCATTGGCATCGATTGTAGAACCAAGCAATGTGAATTCTTTGACAACCTCAATCT